AGTTGATTAAAAATAAAGTGACTGGTTGTGTCTTTTCAAACAACAAATGCAGGACTAACATGGATGGTACAGATGTCGGAAGGTTACGTGTTGTGTTTGTTTGAAATTTTGGATTTATTGCCTGTTGGTCTTGATGTAGTTTGATTATTTGTATAAGTAATGATTGATATATTATTTGATTTAATACACATTAATATTTATTGATTTAATCATTAAATTTTATAAATGAATTTTTTTATTTTAAATTTAAATTTTAAAATAATAATTTTTTAATAAATGTATTAAATCAAATGATATATTAATTATTGTCTTATTTATATTTTTGAATGGGCAGAAGTACTCTTTATATTCTAATTAATAAATTTAATTTTGTTGATAAAAAATAATTTGATAATAAAAATTTTTAATTCAATAAAATATATTTAGGGTTTGAAAACTAATTTATTATTTTTGGATAATATTTTTTTTTTGGCTATAAATTTTTGTTAATTCGAAAATATTATTGAAAAGTTAAAATTACAAATTTAGTACATTTACCGAAGGAATTTTTATAAAAGAACAATCATATTTATAGATGATTTAAAAATTTATTGAAAAACAATCATATTTATAGATGGATTTTTTTTAAAAAAAAATTGAGTGAAGAAAAATAAAAGAAACCAAATAGCAGAAGGCGGCTTATTTTATGCCCCGAGTGCTAGGATTCAAACGGTGGCACTATTATAACCAACTACAACAATGCCTTTTCAGACCTTGCTACAAAAATGACTTTTAGCCAAAAAAAAAAAAAAAACCTACTACAAAAATGACTTTTTTTTTTGGTTTCCCGTCCGGTATCTGGGGTTTCGTCCTGACTAATCCGGATCGACTCACGTCGTGTACCTGGAAATGACGGGTGAGTCTCCCAACGGAGGCTACTGCATTCACAAGGTCTCGAACTCAAAACCTTATTTAAGCTGGAACAAGCCGCTTACCACTTGATCCAACCCCTCGTTGGTTACTACAAAAATGACTTTGTATCCCCATATCTCTCCTTTCACAACCAAAAAGAGCAGCGCTCTCCGTCCCCTCCAATTCAGATATTGCTTTGTTGTTGTGTTCTATTCTACTTCGTAGCCGAAAAGCTAAACAAAACACCCTTACATTACATTATCACCAAATAAAAAATTATTAGGGTCATCTAAAGTTTTACATTTTTTTTTTAAATATAGATTTTATTTAATTTAATAGTTAAAAATAATTAATAATTGTAATAGTTAATTGATAAATAATAAAATAATTAATATTTATTACCTAATAAAGAGCTCATCATTGACAAAATGAAGAGAGAAAATTTTCCAAAAAAATGTCATTTTTCGCAAACCAAACGGACCATAAAGTCTATTCTAAACTACTTTTATTTTATTTTTAGTTAAACCTCGAATTTAATCCTTTAACTATTATACAAACGTTTGATTTGATCCACTGTGTTTATCCATTTGGTCTCAAGTTAATTCTTTTATTAAAAAATAATTAACATTTCTATTACTTAACATACAATCATTATTTAATTATTACGTATCATATTAATAATGAGACATATCATTTGCTTTTGTACATAATGATCAATTTATGGTCAAATTAGTAAATTGTAGGACTAAATTATGAATTTTTTTAGTTCAAAACCAAATAAGAGTCCATATAATAATTGAAGAACCAAATTGTGAATCATTCCATAAGACTTCTAACATTTTCATATGCATCATTCGCCTGCTAACTTTTATTTACATTATATTATTGATGAAGGTCAAGACAACTCCGATAGATCCAAAAATCAACACACTGAAGTGCATCTTATACCTATTGATTGAGGGGGCATGGCTCAGATTTTGGAGGCCTATTTCATCTATGGTCATAAGTGTCCAGCACTTCGGCATTCTCATATTTGACAATATTATCTATGAAACTTTAGCTGTCGAATTATGTGACCTGGTTAAGTACAAATGAACCAAAGTGGAAATGGAAAACCAATTAATTTTTTGGGTAAAAAATTAAAGAAATAACGAATGGACTTCTTGATGCCCACTCGTAAACCAGAGGAATTTTCACTGCCGTTTCTTACAAATCTCACTCTCAAGTGTGTTTATCCATGCCATTTAAGGCCCCCTTACAAACCCCAAATGGATGTTCTTCACACCATGGAGAAATGATTGCACGTTCCGCAGTCATAAGAGCTTATTTGAGTTGCGAGGGCCTAGTAAGTCATCACAACTTGTTTCCTCACAAAGGCACTCCTGGGGTTTTGCGTAGAAATAATCTTCCTCCTTCGGCTTGTCTGGAACAACTCTTCTACGGGTGGGCTGTCCCATCCGCTTCTCATGTGCTTGCCTTACAGCAGCCTCAAACTCATTCCATGAAAGTGTTCCATTCTGGTGCAAATCTAGCAACTGCACTAGTTTTCTTCGATCTAATAGAATACTCTTTCTAAATCCAAGATACCTGAAGAGCAGCATCTAGTTAGAAATGTCAACAAGAATAATACACTTCCCCATATTTACCTTTGAAAATAGCTTTTAACTTTCTAGTTCCCCCCTTCATTGTAAGTTACACAAGAGGGGATATTTGTTACCTACGATGACCTTCCACAACTTTTGCCAAATTTCCATCATATGTTGGAATGAAAGTGTTGCTGGCTATTGATACCATAAAATCCAGAGCTGCCATCTGAGATGAATGGTTCTGAAATTGTTGCAGCTTGGCAGGCTGTAATAATGTTTCTTTTTTCACCTGGAGTAATGATCAGGTCTTCAAAAACTAAATATATAATTTTTGGAAAAAGAACAAGAAACTGAAGTAAGAGGCCTGCAGAAGCCAAAGGCAGAGCTAACAGCAAAGGTAAACAAACAATAACATGCATATTGCGAATGGTGGACCTGAAGAGACTAGGCACATAAAATGCAGGACAAACTGTCAGTCAAATGTGAAACATCATTTGCAAATCATATTACATGACAGATTTGCCCCTATCCCATTAACGGGGAATCAACAACATTTTGCAGTTAATTTTTCCCCACATAAAATAATTTCTGGAAAAAATATTGGTAAGTACCATTTTGAGAATTCAACAAACATGTCAAAAACAAAATTTGAGCAGTCATAAACTCACAATCCGTGGAAAGGCAGCTTTTAGTGATGCCAATCTATTTTCACCACCATAAATTTCCCCAGAAGCAATATAGATTTGTGTTTCATTATCAAAACCCAAAGCTTGCAAAATTAAAGCTGCTTCCTCCGGTGTCAAAGGACATAAACCTTGTTGTCTCCTCTCTTCAGAGACTATCTCTTTCTCTCTCCACCAAGGGAATGCATACCTGAAAAGAGGTCACAACAGTGCCATGAACATTTCTCATATTATCATCTCACAATACCTGTAATTGGAACTATTTTGATCAGACAATTTACAGGACTCAAAACAGAGAGGTACACTTATGGCTGGACTTATTTCTAGCTTTTACCAAGTTTTCTTGATCCGCATCTAGCTTTTAACAAGTTAAAACCAACTACATGATGAAACCAGTATATTGTCAAAGAGAAATGCTACCTGCACTCGGCAGCTAGTACTAGGGCCTTGATTGGCCCAAGTATACTTTTTTTTATTTTTCAATTTAAAAAATTAAAAAAGAAAAAGAAAAAATGGAAGGAACCAATTTGGAGAGGAGTGATATTGTCAAAAAGTGATCAGGTCAGGTTATTACTGGCCATCAACTGTAGAATGCCAGTTTAAATGAAGGAGCTCATATGAGCATATCTATATAGATTTCAAAATATAGTTACTTTTAAACACTACAAACCTCAATTGTTTTAGCTCCTCTGCTTCTTCCTGGGAGCAACCATGTGTGCAGCCAGAGAAAGCCAACATGTCCATCTCATATCTTAGATGTAAAGCCACGAATGGTCCCATTCGTTGAAGAATTTGAACCAACTTGTGTCCCAAAGTTTCAATCTCAGGAGTGAATTTTAGTCCCTGGAAATTAACATGACATCTTAGTCTCTGAAGATCAAGTGGGATCCCATTGTTTGCCAACCGTGAATCAGTTCTATTGAAATGTACCACCTTATATTTGTTGAATAGGGGCAGAATCTGCAGTCATAACCAATTGATTATTATGTATTTCTAGGAGAAGAGACATGCAGTCATCAAGAGAAACATAATTCATGCTGGTTGTAACAGAAAATAATATGGTCTTTCTAAGCTAAAAAACTACTAGTAACTACTAAATAAAAACCTGTTCCAAGTAATATTTTTCATTTGACCAACTAACTGGTGGCATCTGAAAAGCTTCATGTCCATATTTCCTACTAAACCTCTTTGGCACCCTTTTGACAATTTTAACTTCATCTCTTAGTGAATCAATAAAATGTCTCACATCAAAGATGTCCTCAAAATCACTGCAAAAAAACAATGCTGAGCCAAAAACCTAAAGCAACAAAAGAACTAAATTAAGTCATGGAATTTCAATAAGAAGAAACAAACCTAGGGTCAGCCCAGAATGATGTCTTATCAAGCTCTGGGACAATCAAAGTGAGATTTAAAAGCCGTGCAACCACCACCATGTCACAGATCTAAAAGTGTCAGATTAGTTGAGTTAATAACGTAACATAAAACAATATATATATATATATATATATTAAGTAGAAAAAATTATATACCGCAGCACGCATTTGATTCAAGCCTCCATTGCAGGAAACTCTAAGAAAACCCTTGCTTTCATAATTTCCTGCAAAATTTAAGATATTTGTTAGCAGTGCATTTGCTGAAGAGAACTCCCCTCCCCCCTCCCCCCTCCCCCTCCAAGAAAAAAAGGGTGACAATATAAGTCATAGTTTGGCTTATATCAAGTTATGTTTCAAGTAAACCTGAAAACCACGTGTTTCTGTGACCAGAAGAAGGCTGTCAAGCAGACCAAGCCTTGAGCTGACAGGTCTACCGAGATAAGCCTAAAACCATGACATTCAATTTAGCCCAAAATAAGTGAGCCTTAAATCATCAGGGAAATAAATACTTCATGAGACTGATCAAGGGCAGAGTATAATTCTACTATCTTCATCTGGTCAATAAATCCACCAGCTGAAATAAAGCCAGAGGGACAGGATTAAGGTGAAGAAGATAGATTTATTTACTCAAAAAAAATTTTGTTAAATGAGAGATAATGAAGATGCCTAAATCCAGCTCATCTCTATCTTAAGAGTCCAAACTCTATCCTACCCTTTGAGGCCCCTCAACAAATATAGCTGGAGAAAACACAGTCAAAGAGTAGAAGAATTAAGAGGTAGGCAATCTAGAGAGCAAAGGCAGCAAAACGCCAAAAAGAACAGAGTTAATAGAGAAGAAATATTAGGAGATTGCACTAGGGTGAGCATGAGCTCTTGTTCTTTAATGTGACAATCATAACTTTGTAGATAGTCCAATACAAGGCTGGAGGCTTGATAAAAAGATGAAGGCTGATTTCTTTTTGTTTTCTGCAATTGGATTGCAGAAAATCAGTCCTTCTTGAGAATTAATATGCCAGGACATCCTATTTTCACTTTTATCTTCTGCAATATTGTCATACCTTCATTGTACTCATTAAATGATTAATGAAATATTTCATTCAATAGTCTAGTGTCTCACTTTCTTTTTATTTTATTTTTTTTCTCTTTAGGTTTAATCAGAATATCCAATAATTATCAAGCAATTTGTTTGTCCATAACCTTTTTTCCTAATGTAACCTGGTAATTATAAGCAGTTTCTAAGGCAAATTATAGCTCTGGAAATGATAATCCAAAGAAGAGAAGAGCTGTGGCTTCATGGAGGTTTTTTTCTTTTTAATTGGCAGGTAGCTTCATGGAGTTAACACATATTTGAGGAAACCACAATATGGAGAACACATGTTAACAACCATTTCTAGGAGAGCTCAGAGAACAACGAACAAAGAGTAGCCAAAGGATCTAGAAACCAGAAATGGGAACATTACCAAATGTTCTCTAAGTTTGAGGAAAATGAGCTAGAAACCAGAAACTGGCATCAGTGGAATGTTGAAACTAAAGGATGCATAGATGGCACTACTAAAGCCAATCATAACATTCCAATATTAGTGTTTGACTATAGAGGATGTTGATGTGAACTCTTAAGTCTAAGAGACAATGTGCATTTACTCATTTAGAACACCCGATCTTGCTAACAAGCAATGCACGTTAAGTATTTTGTCATTATTCCTAACATGCTAGTGCTGCGCCATTACCAGTAGAATGATCATGCTAAAAAGCATCGCGCATTAAGTATTTGCCTATTATTTCCAACATCTAAGGTGCTGCAAGTAATACCAGTAGAACAACCAATCTTGCAAGCATGCAACACAAAGTATTTTGTCATTATTTCTAACACTGTAAGTGCTGCAACCACTACCAGTATTTCAACCTCAAATACAACAAAGACCTGATATAAATAATGCAATGTGGCTGAAACAACAATCATAAACTATACTGATCAAGAAATGATTAAGCCTAAATAATTAAACACAACTATTGCCAAACTGATAGAAAGCAGGTGAGATAAATGGTTACAGTAACACAATGAGTAATCAATTTATGTTGATAGATTAGTCACCACAAAGCAAAAAAAAAAAGGAATAATGATAACATACCTCCAGTACTTTTCTAAAAGCACAGAAGTAGTGGATCATGAAGAATGTAACACCACTAGTGGACAAATTTAAGTCTGAAACTAAAATTTAAGGGGGGGCAAAATAAAATGCAAGGAATCTTTATTATGAATTCCAATAGAAAATCCTCCAAAATAAGCACAAGTTCCCATTGCTTCAAAATATATTTAGTAAATGTGAAAAGTATTTATGGATCAAATCATGTTCGTTAATGTGTACCATTCTTACAACTATCAACAAAGGTTGTAGCCACAATTAAGTGCAATGCCTAATCAAATATATTTTACAATATGGAATTCTCTTCCACATTCATTAACTGTGAACTACGTTCAAAACACCCAAGGTCAACCACATGCATTACCAATTCTTTCAAAAAAATTTTAATCACCTAGGCATGCTAAGAAGAATCAAGCCCAATAGTACAATACCTCACGCACTTACTACAAACTAATATTAGAAACTGGACGTGCCACATTTGCTCTGGCCAGAAGTAAACAACAGAAAAAAGAGCCTCATTCAACACTCATGCATAAAACTAACAAACATTTGCACTGATTAAGCACTACAAGAAAAGGGCAATCATGCACATAACTAAATCAAATTATGGAGAACCATCTACAAATTTAACCACCAAAACAACAAAAAAGAGAGACTCACTAGCTGGAAGGAGAGGCGGCGGCGATTGAACAGCCTCTTCCACATGAACCGGAGGTCTTATAACCCAGGAAACCCGGTTGGTTAATCCCGTAAACAGATGCGAGTGCCATAATTTCCCAACAGCTACAAGCTGGACTAAACAAGTCCAGAGCAAAATGCTGGAGCAAACTCTAACAAACCACCCCTGTAACCGAGTCCTAGGGATCACCTGAGCTGGAACCTTGTCGCATCTCGCCTGTATATTCTCCGATCTAACCTCCATTTCTCTCCCACCCCCTCATTGCCGCTTCTTCATCGAAGAATTTTCACTTCTCTGCACCTCTTCAACCAAAATCCCCAACTCCTAATTCGATTCACATCCACATTACACCCAACTCAGCCCAACGATCACAAATTCAAATTATTCTTATAGCGGTTTACACGATTCCATAAAACGAAACTGTAAAGTAACAAAAACCTAAAACGAGAAAAGAGAGGGATCACGTGTGGAGAGAGGAAATTGAAATAAATCAATTATCAAATAAATGAAGCGCACCCCTGAATTGGAACCGTGAAATTGAACTTTCTTTCCGGGGAAATTTTTAATTTTCATACTGAATGACAATTTTAAGCTGATATGCCCTCAGGTCTCTTTATTTATATTTATTAAAATTAATTATTATTTTTATTTAGAAATCATAATAAATTTTAATTATTAAAAATAAAAAAATAAACAATTAAAATTTTATATTTACCATCTATTTTTTTATTTACCTCTTCTCATATGCGATTCATGGAGTTTGAGTACTTTTGAGAGATTTTCATTTTAGTAATTATAATGGAGTGTATTAAAAAAGAGTAAGTATTA